CGGAAAACTTCATGTTTGAGGGAGACCCAAAACACATGCATTCTCTGGAAGACATGAAATGCTCAGTTAGTAAAGCCCTGCCTGTAAGGTCTATAAAGTCCCTTTATTCTTTACAACTGCATGCCTCAAGAAAACTCACTCATACCTAATGAAATCTATGGCAGAAGACACTGATACCTGTATTCAACACCCAGTGGGGCTCTGGGCCTCAACTTTGTCCTCCACCTTTGAGTAAACATCCTGGCCTGTTATACACAAATGGAGACAAAAACAGATATTACCCATAAATCCATGTTGTTGATGAGACTCAATCTTCCTATGTAAAACAGTTATACTAACCTAATCAATAATGCAGAACAAATGTAACACATTTCCTTCAATCCATGTGGGGCCCAGAGCTTATACACTTGCATTAACAGATAGTCCACATCCTGGAAGTACCATCTCTGGCTGCAGTTATCTGATCACTTGTTGAGAATCATGTTGGGAGAAGATATTCTTATAAGGTGTTGTTTATTGATTGATCAAGCTAACTAAAATTGTCAGTGTCCATTGGTATGTGGCTTTTACACAACCCTAAGGTAGCTGCTTTGTTACTGACTGAATATTAGGCAAAACACTTCAATGAGCAGTGCTGATGGTGACACAGTTGACTGTACCAGCTATGCACAATTCTTTCCTGTGCTATATCTTCATGGTCAATGATCTTCTCATATAATCAAGGGAATTGTAGAAAACTGATTGATTTAAAAAGATACCCTTCTGTTGAAATAAACTCTATTTTTGAAAAAATCCATTGTGAAGAAGACAAAAATTTTTCACTCATATAGATGGACATAATAAAGGCACCTACAAAACAGAACAACTGTTACAATCATGCTGACTCATCTTGCACCAGGTTGGTAACCATTATAGCCTGTTGAACTAGCATGCAAAATGGACATGTAATTGTAGCTGATATGTTTCCACACACACCCCCTGTGAGCCAGAGACCAATGGTTAAATGGTTCCATGAGATATCTGTGAAATGGCATAACAATGTGAAATGAGGAGAACTGGGTAACAACTACCATGGTTTGGCCCCAATACGAGACTGACAAATAGATCCCATTGATTGTTTTTTTATATTTTATTTTATTTAATTAACATAAATTTCCAAAGTACAGCTTATGGATTACAATAGCTTCCCCCCCATAACTTCCTTCCCACCCACAACACTCCCCTCCCCCACTCCCTCTCCGCTTCCATTCACATCAAGATTCATTCTCAATTATCTTTATATACAGAAGATCAACTTAGCATATATTAAGTAAAGATTTCAACAGTTTGCACCCACACAGAAACAAAAAATGTAAAATACTGTTTGAGTATTAATTATAGCATTAATTAAACACCTAACAGTAATTGTGTATTAATTACAGAGTTCAACCAATAGTTTTAAGTAGAACATAAAAAATACTAAAAGGGTAATGTACTAAGTTCTTTATTTTTCTTTTTTAGTTTGTTATATAGTTATTTTTTATTTAATAAATGTGAATAAAAGTGTAACTTTTGTATTGTTGTGGCTCCCCCCCAACCTCCCTCCCTCCTGTGGCCCTCCCCTCTCCCACTCCCTCTCTCATCCCGCCCTTCATCGAGTTTCATTTTCAATTACCTTCATATACTGAAGATCAACTTAGTATATACTAAGCAAGGATTTCAACAGGCTGTACTCACACAACCACACAAGGTATAGGGTATTGTTCGACTAGCAATGTTGTTTTTAAGTTTCATAGCAAAACACATTAAGGACAGAGATCCTACGTGGGGAGCATGTACCCAGTGATTCCCGTTGTTGATTTAACAGTTGGCACTCCCCATTGATTGTTGCACTTTACCATGGATTCTAATGATCTCTAATTACTGTGTGGATGCAGGAACTACCATTCAGTCACAACAGACTTATGCAAGATGTTAGGAGATCCCATCATCATTCAAATATGTTAGATAATTACTTTCACTTTAAAGAATACCCAATAATTTGCAGTATCCATGTTCCTTATCCTCCATCACTCAGTAGTACTGTAGCAATAACTACACAAGACACCATTAGTGACTGGACAACAAGACTAACTAAAGGCCCCAGGACCCTAAGTGTACCAGGAGGGAAGCAGTATATTGAATATGTTGCTTGGAAATGACAGAGCAATGGAGAGACTAGGTACCACTAACATGACAGTGCTATGACTGACAATGTTTATCCACAACCAGATTTGTTTGATATTTGTTGTTTGTCATTTTTCTCTTGGAGCATAAACTTAAGGGATGGTAGACATTCAAGCAGCTGTCTTACATGATAAAGAGTCTATCACTAGACTTCATATTACTACTAGGGAGCTCCTTAATATGAGAGCTTATTCCTTAGAAAGACTCTTAGACAGTTACAGAAAGAAGGAAACCTCTCATTCACTGGGCAGAGTGGCAGATTCAGTAGGTGTGATCATGGGATTTGTCAAGGTTGCTGTTGATGCTGTTTACGTGGAAGGTCTCTACGATCATAGACACACGTTGTGGGTACTTGTAGCTAGGATGTGGGCACACATAGCCCTGCAAATTAATTGCCCTTGAGCAAGATCAGACAGAGTGGGTAATGTCGCTCCCTTGCCCGCAAAGGAACGACACTGTTCGCAGCTTATCGGTCTTCAGTAGACTTTTAATGAGAAAATAACAGTGACATAGAAAGAATGAAGGGAGGAGCTTTTCTGATGTTTGACTTTTGGACAATATTTGTACATGTCCCTGCTGCCCACATTGATAGCACCCTCATTTATCAGGTATAGCCCTCCTTGTTGATTTTTGTAATGACATACCAAGCAGAGTGGCAGGTCCTGAATGTTCTGTTTTTTAAATTAATTTATTTTGTTAATTTTTTATTAAAGGGACTGTTACAGAACACCTCAGCCACAATAGCCAATCGATCCATATCTGCGTTGTACTTATGTTTTGTAGAATTTACAGTACTATGGGCATTACTAGGCAATCTTCACACAGCACCAGAAAAGGATCCATACTGAGAATTAAACATCATTAGTAGTCATCACCCGCACATTCAACGTCCAGCATGACTGCGTGTTCCCCTGGGATGGAACAGCAGCAGCAGAGGCTTGCTCCGGCTCCCCCTTAAAGCCCCCAAGGACAAGGGTGGCTCATTGCCAAGATGTTAGGCAAGCAGTGCGTCCCGTCCCGGATCTTGGCCAGAGAGCCAAGACATGAAGCATGCCCACCTGTTTATCAGAAAACATTCCTTTATCCCCCTCCCCGGGAACTGGCCAGGCTCCCAAGGAGCGGGAGAAGGTCATCCGGCAGAGAAGTTACTTGTCTATCAGAGCCAAACAAAGACACAAGCCTCTCCATCCCAAAATCTGTCCTTACATTTGGCCCTAGAGTTGCACCAAGGTATAGGCATAATTAATACATCATAAGAATATAATACAAATTTTTATACAAATCTACATTTAGCAATCAAACACAATAATATTCAATATGTTTTAAGGATAAATTGAAACATATCTGAGGGAACTAGCCTCTTATTATCTGTAATTATTACATTTCTGCAGGTGTGTGGAATCTTAACTACTTGTGGCATATTTTGACTTACTTTTTTTTTTTTTTTTTTGTAAAGCAAACCAAGCATAATCTGCTCAAGCATTCCTATCAATAATAGGGGTAGAGTTAGTACATAAAACAAAAACAGAATGGGTAGTCCGGACACTTTGTCACCACAATTTCTCATTTCACATAGTAATATTAACTTTATAACAGAGAACATTTACTTCAAATGAAATATTTAAATGCAAGGTGAGGGCTGTTCAGTGTACACTGATCTATATTTTTTACTCCCAGTGTTTCTTATCCACAACACCCTCTTCAGCAAACCAAGGACTAATTGTTTCAACAGCACTGATAAACTGCTCTCCGGTTTGTTTCTTTAACCCTATTCTCTACATCTGTAACAAAGTTTTCACAGCCTTTGTCATGGCTTGCTTTTTTTTTTTTTTTAATGCACATTTAAATCTTTTCTGAGCAAATCCCAATGTTGCTCATTCATGACTCCTTTTGCTAACCAAGGACTATTTTTATAGCATTAATGAACCGTTCTATGGCTCGCCTTTTTTAACCCTATTCCCTGTATCTGTAATGGAGTCTTTATAGCTTTTTTTTTTTTTTTTTTCCTAGGGGCCGATTTAGGGAGAGTCAATGGACAATACCGCAGCGGCGGTTCGTCCTCTAAGGACTAATTTGGTAGCCTAGTCAAACTGGGATATAAATGAGATGGCCCCCTCGAGCGCAGGGGTGCACTTGATGGGGGATGGTCCTTCACTGAATTTTCCTTTGTCTTATCCAGTGGCTCATCCCTACAGGGACCTTTGTCCGTCTGTTTCCTGTCCCACTGACTACCACAGTCACTAGACTGACTATCATGCCGAGACTCCTCCTGAACCTTTTCTAGGAGCTCGCATCCTTCATCAAGTAAAAGCCCTATGCTCTCAGTGGGGTCCTGAAGTGTCTGTTCAATGAGTTGCCACAATCTAAGTATTTCTGCCGGCTCTCCGGCTGCTCTCAACTGTCTCCCTACTCTCTGCCACTGTTGCTCATCTAATTCGCCACCTTCCACAAACCATGGTGACGTCTTGGCAATGGCCCTAGTGAATGCGCATACTGTAGCCTCCCTGCAGCTTTTAACAAGCAGCTCAACAGCACGCGCAACCTAGTGGTGGACGGAGTATTGTCCATTTCGAGGTAAAAAGGAAGTTTCCGAGTATTGTCCATTTGGAGGTAAAAAGGAAGTTTCTGCCTATTTCCTGGCATTTCTGAACACTTTGTACTCCCGCCTTTTAAGGGATTCCTTTACCCTTTTTTCTGGCGCTTAATTTCCCCGTCTTTCTTCGACGGAACCGCGGTTTCTATTCTTTCCCCAGCTGGATTTCCATGCACATGCACGCTTACCTTTTGTTCCTTACCTATTCCTGCGTGTAGAAAGTGGTCCGAATCCGAGTCATGGAACCACTTGTCGCTCCCTTGCCCGCAAAGAAACGACACTGTTCGCAGCTTATCGGTCTTCAGTAGACTTTTAATGAGAAAATAACAGTGACAGAGAAAGAATGAAGGGAGGAGAGTGGACAGGAAAGCCCCCTCCTTCCTCAGCACACAGCTTATATACAAAATCTGGCCAATTGCAAGCGGGCTCAAGTCCATGCACGGAACACTCCAATCCGCTGTCTGTTCACGCAGTGTGCACGCGTCCTCGGGCCAATCAGATGAGGTGTCACGCAGCAGGCAGGCTCACCGCGTGGTCCTCGGCGCCATCTTGTTGTTTACAACATTCTCAACTCCTCTGGAAAGTCCCAACTGTGGGAAAGCATTGTCCTAACCGAAACTAGCAACATTGGCCTTGTGATAAAGACACAGCAACAGCTATCAGACCAACCTTGACGTGGGGGCTCCATGGCTGCGCATCCCATGGAGCCCCACAGGGTAATGTAGGTCAGCCAGATAACCAGTATATTGGAGAACTGAGAGCATAACCAAATACTGAATGGCTTTGGAAGGAGAGTGGTAACCAACCCACTCTTCCCTTTCTTCTTTAGGACTTTAGTGGCAGGTGTGATGGGAAAATGCGATGGTCCATTTTAACCAAGCACTAGCACAAGGTGACAATCTGATGAAGCACTAGATTTGTCACACTCCAGTTCAGAGTGAATCTATAATCATTCACATCTCCCCACAATCAATGCTTCTGCCATATATTCAAATTGAATGACCACACAGTATTTCAGGGATTGATATATCTTTGAACTACAGGCATAAATATTGAAGATTTCAAACATCATTGATATTTCAAGAAGACTAATGTTTCCTGAAACTGTTTCTATGTCAATGGATTCATCGGTAAACCAAGGTCTCACCAACTGGACTAGAACTATTTAGACAAATGTTTATTTACAAACACCCAATGGATTTTAAGTAAATCTGGACATAGAATGCTTACATTTCAGGACCTCTCCAATATTTTGAGGGATTTGAGGACTCCATGTACTGAAGTACAATAACATCCTTTGGTAGATAGCTGACAAATCAGATGTCTCTTCCCTGAGCACACCCTCCTTGAAAGGCCAATCAGATGACTTTGTCCATTAATCTGAATGCATACTTATACCTGTTGTTGGTGTGATACCATAAAGACCATGGAATAGAATATATGCCTAATCATAGCAGCTTGGGTAAAGCCATAGTCAATATAATATAACAATAATATTCACCAATGAGAAGAAATTCAGCAAATGAAGTGCTATGCTGAAATAATTATTGAAGTAACAGCAGTTCATACAATAATGTTAGAGTATAGCCCACATGTCCCAGGATCAGCTGTCAGAAATTATATGGAATTAGATCTTGAGTGTTTAGGATAAAGGAAAAAGTAGCACAAAACTGGATCAATGAGAGCTTATTAATGGAAGAACATTCTCCTGTGAAATAGATTTTTATTTATTCACAAGGCTATTAGGAGAGGATGCTAATATAGTGCAAACCTGACACTTGGAAGATTGTAAAAGGATATTTCCTAACCAAAGTGAAGAATATGATGGACCAAAATTAATAAAATATGGCTATATTACAATGGATATACTATGTACAGCATACACCAGTGTTCTACAGGAAGACATTTAGGCCATTTTATTTAGCAAACTCATAAGAAGGGCTCTGTAGATTTGTATATCAAAATTGTTAATTTCAGTGTGGAGAATTGTATGTAGACCATAGTTGATATCAAGGTATATTATTATAGAAGTGGACTGCCTGAAAAAAATCCAATATAGAGACCCAAACTAATAGAGATTAGGTGACTATTCCATTACAGCTAATTGCAATAAATCACTGGTTATGTAGCAAAGAAGTCTTGATAACTTATGGAGAGTAATGATGATAAATACAGAAACTGTTATTAGCAGCATGATAAATAGATAGCTAACAATAGTTTGCTCAATCTGTGTAACCAAAATCAACCAGAAATAAATGATTAGGAGATTGTAATGTCAACATCCATTGGCCAATTTCTATTTAAGCCAATTCTCAAAGCTAAGCCCAGTAACTAAAATGTAGAATTAGGATCAGTGATAAAGGAATCATCAGAATACTATGAGAATTATAAACCAGTTAATCAATTATTTCTCAGTGTGACTTATGGTCATTTACCTAGTTGACTTTAACAAGGACATGGAATATACACATTTTTTAGGTATAGTGAATACATAGTCAAAAGTGATCTTGATACCAAGGGTCACTAAATTTTATCATGACTCTTAATTAAACTGATGATGTAAAGGAACCAGGTAATATATAGAGTTTGGCTCACTCTGGTCTGCAGTCTCTTCAGAGTCATGTCATATTTCTGGCCCTGTAATATATAAAGGAAAAGGGCAAATTAAATGTTGGCATAACACATACATAAGTTTATCAGCCTATAATTTAAGAAGCATTTCAGTGGAGCAGGGCAAGAAGAAGTCCATGAAACTGTCTATTTTGATCAAGATATTAAATATATGTACTACATGTTGGGAAAACAGAAGAGATTGATCCTTCCATAATTACAAAGGATGCCAAATTGATGCTTCTTAATTGCTCCTGTTCTTCACACACATAGATTGTAGTGAATAATGGTGGATTGCTTCAACTCAACTAAGTAATAATTTTAATTGTAATGCTATGTCTGAGGTAATATGTTCTTTAAGGAAGGTTAATACAGTATAGGGAATATACTATACAGCTGTTAACTGAGCAAGTACATTTTTGCAACCCTATTAATAAGAAAAAAAGTCATAAGCAGCTACTAATCTACTAATTTTAAGTGATACCCAAAGATGGAACAAGGTCTGTGCAGAAGGTTCAGGCTGACATCCAAATCAGCCTTATCAAAGGGACAACATACACCTTAGATTCTATATAGACAATGATATACATAAGAATAAAAGATATGTGGTGTTATAGAAAGTGTTAGTAAGTAGGTGAATATCAAATAGAATAATGTAGACACTAATCGTTTTGAAGAAAGACACTTTTAAGTAAATATCAAAAACTGAGTCATTGTACCATTTTAAATAGAGCTCCAGGGATTCTGAGTCATATGAAATCAAGAGGCCATAAAGCTATATTTCCATATCATGACCTATGTAACAAAACACCTAACTCTGTTATTTGAGGTTTACCAATAGTTTTTAAGTTTCATAACTCCATATTCTCCACATGTCCAAATCTTGAGAAAACTGAAAAGGTAGCCCAGGTTTTTGTATTTGTTGTTGTTGTTTTTCCTTTAACACCAGTTGGAAGCCTCATCTGCACACCATTTTTAAGCCACAGTAAAAACTCCAAGGTAGTCTCATTTCCTCTCACTCAGCCCATAATGAAAACTTCTTGGGATCTCATTTGTTGTACACTAACACCTCGCTTACAAAGCTAATAAGATTAAGAATTTAAAAAAATGAAATTCAGTCATTTGCAACAAAATGGAGGAATCTGGAAAACATGCTGAGTGAAACAAGCCTGTCCCAAAGGGACAAATATCATACGTTCTCCCTGATTGGTGACAACTAACCGAGCACCAAAAAGGAAACCTATTGAAGTGAAACAGACACTATGAGAAACAGTGACTTGATCAGCGCCTTGTCCTGACTGTTGATGTACAACTTAATACTTTATCCCTTTTAGTATTTTTTGTCCCACTTAATACTATTGGTTGAACTCTGTAGTTAACACACAATTATTCTTAGATGTTTAAATTTAACTGAAAAGTGATCTCTGTTAAATATAAGAATGGGAATAAGAGAGGGAGGAGATGTACAATTTGGGACATACTCAATCAGACTTGCCCCAAATGCCCCAATGGTAGAGTTAGAAACGTACCAGGGGCTTCCAAGTCAATCCCATAAAGATGGCATGTATCAACACCATCTCACTAGTCCAAGTGATCCATTTCAGTTCACAATTGATCACACTAATAGGACTAAGAGTCAAAGGGATCACATAAACAAGACTGGTGTCTGCTAATACTAACTGATAGAATCAAAAAGGGAGCGAACGATCCAACATGGGAAGCAGGATACACAGCAGATTCATAGAATGTTAGATGTCCTAAACAGCACTCTGGCCTCAGAATCAGCCCTTCAGGCATTCAGATCTGGCTAAAGAGCCCATGGGAGTATTTTAGGCATGGAAAGCCAAGACATTCTGGAAAAAAAAAAAAAAAAACTATATGAAAGATCTCTACAAGTGAGATTCCAGTGGAAAGAATAGGTCATCAAAGAAGGAGGTACTTCTGAAGGGAGGAGAGAACTTCCACTTTGACTTTGACCTTGTCTAAATAAGATTGGAGTCAGCAAAATCAAAAGGCCTCCAAAGCCTTGGCAACTCATGACAAGAGACTAGAGATTACTGATGCCATAAACAAGAGTGTCAATTTGTTAAGTCTACAACAGGAGTCACTGTGCACCTACTCCTCATTTAGGATCACTGTCCTTAATGTGTTGTTCAATGTGAATTAATGCTATAACTTGTACTCAAACAGTATTTTGCACTTTATGTTCTGTGTGGGTGCAAACTGTTGAAATCTTTACTTAATATATGCTAGTTGGTCTTCTGTATATAAAGATAATTGAAAATGAATCTTGATGCGAATGGAATGAGAGAGGGAGTGGGAGATGGGAGGATTGCGGGTGGGAGGGAAGTTATGGGGAGGGAGCCATTATAATCCATAAGCTGTACTTTGGAAATTTATATTTATTAAATAAAAGTTAAAAAATAAAATAAAAATTATGGGAAACAAGCTAGTAAATTCTGTTTCCCATGCCAAAAATGGAAGAGACAGTTGAAAGTGTTACCATATTGGCTGGGTTAATTGACTCTGATCAGAGGATTAGTGGCTATTATCCAATGGGTATAGAAAGGATACATTTGGAACATAAGTGATTCACTGCTGTGTCATGTGGTATGTCTTTTTGTTAATGGCAACCATTAATTTATCTTTGCCTAAAATAGTTAATCTGTCATACAGTCCATAGTTTAAAAATAAATCTCAATTGAAATAATCGCATATTCATTAAATAAAAGTTAAAAAAAATTAAAAAAAAGAAATAATCACACAAATTCATCTGTTACCCTGTTCTTCCTTTATATGGGGGAGTGGTGCTTTGAGAAATATCAAATAATTAAACTAAAATATGTATTTAATTTGGTACTGTGGGGAGCAACTCGGAATAGACTGTTACTGGAATTAAGACTTATTCTATGCATCTGCTTTCCCACAATATGGTGCTGGGAGAGGAGCAAACAGCTTCTACACAGCTGCCTCCGGTTCAACCAATAAACTGTAGGACCTGCT